TTTGATGCTCATTAACTAAGAAATGTGGAAACGTATACAGAACTGATACACACACATTGACGTTTATTTATGTAGAAGAAAGGGGGTCCAACCTCAACTCTCTTCATGATCTTCCTTATGTAATCCTATATCACTGTGTCATGTTTGGTGTTATTTATCAAAAAATGTGGAAACCTATAAGAAACATATGGCTAAAAGGTGCGAACAAACAGATGCAAACTTAGCTTTATATATTAGATATATATATGTATAAGTGTTAATAGCGATGAACACCACATAGAAAAGAGAAGTTTTCTGTTTCAACTTCAAACTATTGAAAAACAAGCTTTTTTTTCATCAAGTTACTCTCTATAATACTACATAAAAAGTAGTTTAGTGTTTTTACAGGGTATATCATTCATTCCTATTCCTTTAAACTTGCCCCTCGCTGGCTGAGCTATAAGCTCGAGGGCTTATAACATTACAGTATGAGATTCGATTCCTAGGGTGCATACATCACAGATAGAAAATTGTACATATTTATGCTTAACAAGAAAGAAGAGCGAAGGAAACAAACCTTTAAATGTATTTTGTTCTTTGAACAACAATGTGTACTCTAGTTATTCGGGTTTTAGATACATTTTTATTGTTTCTTCTTAACTGAATCTTCTTGCAGAAAATAATTTGCTCTATAATATGCGCCTTTAAGATAACAAAACTTAAGCATTAACATTTGTGTCATGATTATTCCTTTAATCCTTAAATCATCAGAATTTCTCTACTTTAGATGGGAGAAGTTTAAAATATTTTGATACGCTTTTATTAAAAGTGTCAAAAATCCGTGAAGTCTGAAACTCGTGAAAACACATTCAAAACTTTTAAATTCATTGCGATTAATTTGTCTGAAAGTTTTCGTAATAAATGAAAGTACGTTCGACTTGTGTGCGCAATTCTTTATATTACAGCTGGAGTCATTTCTGGGAAAATATTTCGTCCACTTTAACGACATAAGCTGTTGGTTGCATGAAGCTGTAAAAAAGAACAATGTTTTGTTAAATGTAAATGAACCACCACCTAAAACTTAATAGAAACGAGGGAATATAAGGTACGACAGCTTAGGTCTATTTAACGGTATATATAAATTAGGCGCTTCCGGTCTGTTTTCATGTGTTTGATTTGATAGATAGATAAATATAAGTTATAGAACGTATTTAATTGTATTTCTTTAAAGATAATTTGTAGGGAACAAAGAAATTAAAATTTTAACCTAAAATCAATACCCACTTCTTTATGAAAATATGTATGTTTTATTTCACTTCTTCTCGTTGAATATTTTAAAGTTCTCGAGATTAATGATTCAATACGTTACTGTCTTTCTATTGATTTCTGTTATTCAATGTGAAATCGTAAGATGCGATAGAAATTTAACGTATTTTCGTTTTTAATTTGCAACCATGTATATTAGAATTATTTAAGAATTTATAAAAATGTTCGTCTGGATTTTGAATGAGTAGCAAACACAGTTATTATCACTTGTAAGTGTTCTGTTTTCATTAAAGTTAGCGGTTATGATTGAAAGTTGAAAACAGTTCATCAATTTGATAAAGTTTGCTTTTAAAAAAAGCTTTATACAGTGTATTGATTGACATATTTGATAGGTTTCCTATGGGTTGGTTTGGCCTTGTGTCTTGTCGTGGAGACCAGGCCTTTAAAAGTACTTTTCTCTGTAAAAGTAATTATTTTTCCTTTATATCAGTAGTATTTGAAAATCACTACACTATGCAAAATTATATTAGCAGGAGAATAAACAAGTGTATGTTTAAAAGTTGAAGATTATCAAATAGAATAAACATTTATTATAAACTAGGAGTTTACAAGTTTGTACACAGCTCGCTGAGACCAATGTTTGAAGGCATGAGAGTTATAAAAATAGGGAGTATTTGCCAGTTGATATAAAAGTAGATAGACCGATGACTAATATAACGAAAGAAAAAACTTACTCGAAACTCCAGAAGTTATTAAGTCAAAAATTACTCAGCCGAAACAACTAATTAAGACTGTATCTTTCATTGTGCCAAGCACCTCACCGAACCCACACCCAGTGGCACAGCAGAAAGTCTGTAGATTATAACGATAAAAAAACCAGGTTCAGATACTCGCGGTGGGAACAGCAAAGATAGCCCATTATGTAGATTTGTGTTTAATTCTAAAGAAACAAAAATCATAGTTCCAAAAACACAAATTTTGTTTTTAAAGTAATTAAAACGTAGGAAAACAAATAGTACTTTAATTTTCGATACAATTGTAATCTGGGATAATTATGACAACAACTTTCTGTGAATATTCTGCCTATCACGTATCTGAATTTCAATGACAAAAGATATTCTACTCTACTAGACAAACTGTGACGTTTCTCGAGGAAAAATAACAATGTATAGTCAATAACAGTGGATACTTCCAGGTGTAGCATGATCCCTTATACTATGTTATTGTCACTCTGTTAATAGGAAATACGTGTATTTGTATGGGATTGCAGGGTCAATATATATATGTTAAACGTGAAAAAATCGCACTATAATATGTACCCATTGCTAAACATCTCATTCATTTAAATTACATACCACATCCTGAGGCTCACATTATAGTTCGTGCAAATACAAGAGTGAAAATTCTTAACGCACTTTAATAATATAATATGTAGTATCATATAACTTAAAGATATAATATAAAACTTAAATATAGCATTATGTAATTAAAATAACGTGAAGTATTAAAAAAAGAAATCTAAGTACAGAAAAACTTATCTGTTTCATATGAGAAATAGCTAGCATAAACGCAGAACTTTGTAGTATTTTTGTTATAAAACTAAATGTATAGAACCAAGATTTATTATTTTATTAACGTTAAGCAACAATAAATTATACGAAAATGATATTTTCTTTGTGTGTTGTTTGTAACAACTTAAAAACTATTCATAGCTTCATAGCTAGGTAATAAAATCATTACTAAATATACTTTCAACACTTTTTAGTAAAAAGTATTTATATACGTTTTGCGGCCTGGCGTGGTCTGAATATTAAATATTCGAACACTCGCAATTTGAGTTCGAATCCCGCCCTCGATCAAACTCATTCTTTCAGCCGTGTGGATGTTATTGGTGAGACGGTAAATACCACTATTCGTTGATAATGAGTATCCCAAGAATTGGCGGTGGGAGTTGTTGAGCAGCTGGCCTCCTTCTAGTCTATCACCTCAAAATTGGGGACGACTAACAAATATATACTTTTTGCAAGATCTCTAGCAAATTAAGAGATTATTCTGTATTAATACTATTAATTATACAAATACTTTTCAAGAGGATCAATAATCAAGTGCAGAAGATTGATTACCAGACTTCGCTTATAGTATATTGCACCGTATTAACGCACGGACGAGATTGGAATGACTCTACGTTTTCTTCTTACTTTAAACACTTAAGTTCAAAGGAAGATTTGTTTCCTTTTTTGACATCCGAAATACAGAAGAAAAGTAATTTTGCTTGACAGTTTAATCTAATTTATTGGTGCGGAGACTTGAAAAGAAAGAGTTTATTAGAAAACTAGATCTACTCAGTAACTGTTCAAAATGGACATCATGCTGAAGTCAGGTCGACTTGCAATGTTCCAAGTCTCGTCTTTTTTCCCTTTCAATGACCAGAAACTACACACGTATTTACCTTAAGGCGTTTTTAAGTCAAACGTATAACTAGAGTTACATGTTTCACTTTCGACAACATGTAAGTATAGCATATTCAGAAAAAAGAGCCGTATATTTCTGTATACATTGCCCCCAAGTGGTACAGCGGTATATCTGCGGAGTTCCAATGCTAGAAT